ACTAGTGTGGCAAAGTGGAGCTGAAACAATCACATAAATCTGCAGCAATTCTGATAATCAATAAATCTTTTCAAGCTAAAATGCAAAATATATCCCAACTTCTAACCAGGATCCACTGTTTGTATTTGTTTTCTTTTTGGACTGTTAATTAATACAAGTTACTAGTTTCTGACATTTTATAGACTTTAACTATTAATCAAATCATCAGGAAAAATAATCAGCATGTTAATTTAAACCCAACAAATAAGCTCTGTAAACAATCATCATGTTGTATGAAATACTAAGGCCATGTTCACAATGTATTTTTTTTATTTGGCTGTTTGTCAGATTGTTTTTTAAATGTGGCCTATTTAAGATTCAGTGTGAACAGATCCTAAAATAACCTTCTGACATGTCTGTGCACACTGAGGTCAAACACCCGCTCTGGATCTGAAGTGGAGCACTGTGAAAGAGTCAGAATTGTAAAGATCAGATTCAATATGATGTGTAATGTTCATAAAAACTGAGTCACATAAAAGCAAAACATTAGATTGTTCCCTTCAGTGTGAACACAACCTAAAGCTGCACTGATGACCTTTCACCCACATTCACAGCTTTAGTTCCTCTCGGTTAAATCAGTATCTACAAACTACCTGACAACCTCTGTGTGTGTGTGTGTGTGTGTGTGTGTGTCTAACACCAGGTGCACTGTGAACATTATAGTTTATCTAATTTAATAACACAACAAACACACAAACACACAAACACACAGGGTCACTTACATTTCGAGAGAGCTGACCTGGTCATGACTGACAACATCTCCTCCTTCAGTCAGAGTCCAGAGTCTTTAGAGATCAATGAAACTGCAGCAAACACAGATAATAAATTAATTCACTTCAGCTGCTGTTAGCTCCCGTTAGCTCCCGTTAGCCTGCAGGCTGCTAACTAATAACTAACTTTATTAACAGTTGTCTCACAAACAGTTTGACCCGGTTACAGGAACAAACAGTGCAGATAAAGTGAACAACAGAGGTAAACAACAGAGGTTAAACAACAGGGTTAAACTGCAGCGCTGAGTCCATAAACAATCACAGTTTCACCTCTTTAGCTTCACTCAACCTGCTCTGCAGCCGGGTACGGTGGCCGACAAGGCTCAAACTACAAACCAGCGCATGTTTAGATAATAACGTTAAAAAGATACAGTACCTGTTAAACACAGTTTATATATTATTATTATTTATTCTTCATACTGATACAGAATGTGTGTTTACTTTTACAGGAATTACAAATGACTTGGTATCGATTATTTATCGATTATTTATTTTATATATTATTTATATATTATTTATATTATTTATATTATTTATATTATTTATATATTATTTATATTATTTATATTATTTATATATTATTTATATATCTTACAAATGTTCCTTTATTAAGATTCTCCTCCTTCTTAAACTCAATAAACTAATTAAAAGTGTAAAAAACCTTCTTTGATTAGCTGGAAAATAAACTATAATGAACAAAACTGAACTGTTTTCAACTCTACAAACATATATAATATAATATATATAATCTCCCAGTGTTGGTTTATTCTTTATATATCTTTCTTTATTCATTTTACTTTTCCAATTGTTATTATTATTATTATAGTTACTGCTTTCATTCATGGCCACTACAATAGGTTATAGTATTATGCTTACTTGTAAGTAAATAAATAACTTGATGTATAATTATTATTCTTATTTTATATATTGAAATTACAGTGATGATCTTATATATGACGTGTTACTGTAGATTAAAGTAAAGTAGTTAAAACTAGTTTAACATCTGCTGCAGTGAAACAACATTCACATTAATGCAGCTGTGATATTAATCCAAAATACATTTAATGTTAACACTGACAGGGATACTGATAATTACTTATTATCTCGTATTTTCACAGTCTGATATTATTTAAATACCTCTGAACATATTCTTTTAACATCATAAAATAAATGCACATTAGACAACAGAGCTGCAGTTTGAGTTTTGTTTTATTTTTATGTTTGAAGACAGGAAGTCCTCATAATCAATCAATGATCAAACTATGATCACTATAAATTACAATCAATCAA